CTTTATATTTACATAAAATTTACATTATATTTATATAAAATGCTTTATATTTACATAAAGCATTTTAGATCAAGAAAGAAAGAAAATTTTGTAGACAAATCTTTCTCTAACTTGATATATACCTACCTTTCTGAAAAGCCTAAAGATAACCTTTTTAAGAGGGATAAAACCTGTAATCAATAACCTTGATTCTCTTGGGTAAATAGGGAAATGGCCCATGCCTTTTAATCAGGCGAGAGGAGGAATATAACAATAAAAGGAGTTTTAACTCCATGAAGAAGAAAGGCACAAGGTCACAGTCTGGTCTTAATTTTCACCGAGAAAACCATCACCAGGATTTCAATTTGGCTGCGTCTACAAGTTCATTGACTTTGCAAGATGTTGTAACAGTTAATTTTGTCAACGAAGCAGCCAAACTGGTTGTCTGTTTGAAATGACTAATTGCTGTATTATTTTGATTTATATTTTGGGTCCACTTGACCACCTGAATAGACTATAGACAAGGCTAATGTATGGGAAGAGCCACTGAGAGAGTTGGGCTAACCACCATGGATGATTTGCTTTCTGTGAATATGATCTTTTAACTAAATAGGCAAACAAGGGGAAAGCAGATTTGATATACATGTTCCCATCCTAGGCATCAAACTTTGGTTTACAGTGGATTTAAGTTCAAAACTATGCAAGATCACAGAATCAGTAGTTTATTTACTTGGGATTTTAATTAAAAAAAAAATTAAAACAGAAAACAACTAAATGGCACTACAGCTTGGAAAAAAATTTTAATACGTACCTTTTGTGCAAGTAAACATCTATAGCTTCCTGTTTGTGTGCTTGTTGCCAATTCTTAAACACCCTTGGATAATTCAATTACATTTGTGGTTAAAAAAATATCATTATACACTGCCACTTTTCTGCTTAGTTGTTGTGTTCTCAGTTCATACCACAGCCTTGCCTGTGTGACTGGGTAAGTTAATTAATCTCACTGTGCTTCATTTTATTCAGGATAAAATGGGCATTATTATTCCTACATCATAGAAATCCTATAAAAATGAAGTATATAAAGATATTAACATAGTTTCTTCCTAAAATGTGTTTTAAAATGCCAGTAAGGGCTACCGCTGTGGAGGGATGGGCTCTTTCAGAATTTTGGCTTCACCAGGTGGTAAAACCATGGCTTTGGCCATTAATCATAGCATGTCTGCTGCTTGGTATCTTTTCAACCAGCTCCCACTGACAGCTCACTTACTAGTTTCCAGCCACACTGCAGTACAGGAAGTTCCTTCCTGAGCTGAGATCTTTGCGTTTGCTTTTTCTCTGTCTGAAAATCTCTGTCCCCACATCTGCACATGGCTGTCTCTCTCCTGTTATTAGGTCACAGCTTGGCTATCACTGGAGAGGCTCTGCAGGGTCACTAATGTAAAGGAGAGTCTCCTCCTTAGTCACTATCCCATTTCCTGTTTCAGTTCCTTCATGCCACCTCCCACTTTCTGAAATCAGCTTGTTTATTACTTACTTTGTGTTGTCTCCTTCCCCTACTAGGATGTAAGATGCCGGAGGGGAAAAATCTCGTGGCTTGCTCTGGCACCTAGAAGTGTGTTTGGCACATAATTAATTGCTCATTATATATCTTAAAGGAATGGACGATTACTATTATTTTTTCTTTGATTTAAAAATCCACAGACTCTTTTTCTTATTGAAGAGCATACCAGCTTTATTCGAGGTAAGTATTCTTCTGTTGGCCTTGAATCCAGTCTTCTTTCTGTTTCTTTCCAAACTTGAGCTCTCATAGGGTAAAATATCCATTTTCTTGCTCTGCTTTATGTTTTAAGGTGCATGGGAGTATGAGATCCTTAAGCAGGTTACGAAGGCAGGCTTCTAATTCCTCACGGCTTTGTTATATGCCCCATTTGTTTGGCCACATGCTTGTATCAGCAAATAAATGTGTGTAGAATGGAAATGTATGTGTACTAAATGGATTGAGAATGTCTGTTTAAATAGTCAAATTCGTGGCTACATCTTTTTAGCTCTCAAGAAATAACACTCCATGTCCAATCCCTACTATTTTACAAGTTTGTATTTTAAAAATCAAAGTCATCTTTCATATTTGTGTGTAAGTTTTGGCTATATCTCAGCCAATTTATCTAAAAAACAAATTAAAATAAATATTGTTATCTGATAAAAGTGTCTGTGGTTTTATTATTTTTTTCTCCAAAAAACTATTTTGATGCCTTTCCTTTCCATGAAATTGTTTTCATTTTTTTTCCAAATAGAACTTGTTGTTATATTGTTTTTTTTTTTTTAACATTTTATATATTTATTTATTTAAAAAAATATTTTATTTATTTTTTCCCTTCCCCCTCCCCTCTGGTTGTTATTCTGGTTTTGCAGATGAAATTTTTCTAAAGTTCCTTAATTTTTTTGTAGAAATCACTTTCTCAATAGAAACCAACATAATAATAATGTGAGCTAAATTATAGTGTTGCTTACAGTTAAATGTTGTATTCTTGATAACTTTATTTGTATCTGTTCCTTTATTTAAAAGACTGTTCTTGAAATAAGTGATGTATTTGTAATAATTATGGTTGATTTTGATAAATAATAAATAATTCCCAATAGGTGGTTTTGACAATGATCAGCGCCTAGAGCAGGTTTAGCATGGACTAAAAGTTTGATAAATATTTGTTAAATGAATCTTTAGCACATTACACAATATTTAACGTTCTTGAGAGTATGGAAACTTTCAGAAATACAAAAATTAATTCGCCCTTCTGAATTTGGAAATTGTTAGTTCTTCCACATGTTATCTTATTTTTCTGACTTCATTTATAAAGTATTGACATCAGTTCCCAAGCCACTGAATTTCATCTTAGAGAAGAAACCAGTACAAAAGAAGAGAAATATAGTCTCTTCCATGTTTGGGAAGCTCTAAATATTCTAAAGTTTTTAAAAGTTGTGATTTCAAATGCCAAGTGTACATAGGTGAGTGGTGCTGATTTAATCTATGGGTTTTTTTTTTTTTTGTCTTTTTTTTTTTAATATGATAGCTTCTAAAAAGTTCTCAAACAAAAAAATAAAATCTCTAAAATTTAGACTATGACAATAATTAAGAAAATGCAGAGAGGGCACTGGTAGATTTTTAAAAACTATTTTAATACAAGATTAATAGCAATTTTCTATCCAAATCAGAAACAAAAACTCTTAACCCAAATAATATTCATTTGACAGTCACATAAAATTTTAGGTTTGATTGGTGCACACATTTGTCCTGCATATATACTATGCATATGCACACAGAGACCTCACTGTTAGGCCATCTTTAGGTTTCTTTTTGTAAAAGTAGCATCACAAGGCAAGGTCAAAGATTCCAGTAACTATTCAACTTTGAATGAGGCTCGCATGGCCCCATGCTAAGCCGGGTCCCCTTGCTGTAGTAAACAATCATATAGCAAGGCTCTAGAATGCATACAAATCAATACTCTTTGTATAACTTGGCCTAAAACTAAACACTGGCTAATGTCTCCACCGAGGAGGAACACATTGCAAATTTATAAGTTATGGTCTCCTTTACTCTTCTTCTGGCAAAGCTAAACTGCTTCCCCTCCTTTTAAAGTTAAAAGTCAGGTCTGTTAGTGACTGTAAATAAATGAAAATGAGTTTGAATTTCTGCAAGTTTTGGATGTCAAAACTTGCATTTGCTAACACTCCCACCTTTAATCAAACCACTTGATAATTAGCCTTGCAAAGAGAAGTAACAAAAGAATCACAGCTCAGGAATTTGCTAAGTTTTTATTCCTCCGTGGGGACTTTAGTTGGTGTTCAGTGTGTAGCCAAAACATGTATGTAATGGCTAAAGAATTAAAGTAGGCTAATGTCGGCAGCAGGGAATATAAATTAAATATCAGGGTTCTGCATCCAATAATATTTTCAGTGTGTTTGAATTATAGAATATTACTTTTATAATTACTACTGCTTGTCAATGAATAATAGTGTTTTTCAGTGTAGACAAAGTAGTATTTCCTATTCCTTACAATTAAAGCAGGTAATACAAGATACTAATCTGGGTGTAACGGTAAGTGAGTCAGACTGCTATTGCTAAGGTTGTTCTGGGATGGCTATATTCAAAGTACTGATTTGACCTTCATTAAAATGACAGATTGTCATGTCTGTCCTTCAATGCAGAACCATAAACAAAGCTCTAATTTGTGAATCTGTAATTCATTCTTCTCCGCTAAAGACTTTAGCCTCTGTTTAGCTTTTATTATAACATATACAAAGTATAATATACACCAGTTACAGACGTGTATTTCTGTTAGAAAAATACATATTATAACTAAACATGTAAATAGAGGCACTTCAATAAGCTAAGTGTTTGCAGTTATGAGCATCACCCAATAATTTCTAGTATCCGATTTCAGTGAGCCCATTCCTCTCTAGTAACAGAGGTTATGATGTCAAGACAGAATTTAGGGGTCATCAAAGTAAATGAGGGCAGGTCATGAAAAATAATGGAGCATCATTGCTTCCCCTATCACAATGCTGAAATGAGAGAAATTAATTTGGCCAGGGGTGGGTGGGGTGAGGTGAGATTCCAAAATACTTACTGAAATAGGGTAACTAGATTAACTCCCATGGGCAAAAAAAAAAAAAAAAAAAAAATTCTTATTTTAAATTTAGTTGAAAAACAAA